GTGGGAGTGAAATGAGTGTAAAGTGTCTCACCTGTGACTAGTGGGAGTGAAATGAGTGTAAAGTGTCTCATCTGTGGCTAGTGGGAGTGAAATGAGTGTAAAGTGTCTCATGTGGCTAGTGGGAGTGAAATGAGCGTAAAGTGTCTCATGTGGCTCGGGGGAATGGAATGAGCGTACAGCATCTCATGAAAGGCTAGTGGGAGTGAAATGAGGGTGTAAACTGCCACCTCTCTGGAAAGGTTTTTGGCATTTCATCAAAAGATAATGTGTTATTATGTGACCACAGTTCCACTCCCATTTTCTAACCAGAGAGAGATGAAAACACGTGCACATGTAAGTGTTTCTGAGATCCTCGCTCAGGACTCAGGATTCCAGGTGCTATTCTTCCGACTCACTAATGACAGACTTGTCCTTTGTGTAAGAATGTAAACTGCATGTCAGCCTCTTCCTTTTTCATTTCACAACTTTTCGTTCACCCCACAGCAAAGAGAAGGAGACGGGGCCCCGGGCTCTTCCGCACAGGGGTAAGTTGTCAGCTTCCTGCAGGGGCTTGGTCTCTCTGAAGGATAGCTCTGTTCCTTTATTACCTCAAGTGACTTTGGAAAACAATTCACCCACAATGAGATATTTTAAATAGTTCTGTTGAATTATACCGATGGCTGCGTCTTGTCGCGCTTCTTACTTGTAGAAACTGCATTTTTCTCTCCCTTTGTTGTAAGTAACATCTAGAGCAGTGTGCAAGAATAAGACCGGCTTATTCATTTCCACGTCTCTCCGTCAACCTGTGGGGGCCGTGAGTCTCCGTGTTGGTGTCCGTCGTAAGCTCTGAGCGTCCGCCCGTTCCTGAGCCAAGATGCTGAGTCAGTGTGGGCACTGACGACCCCTTCGCCCCGGAGCCCTGCCCAGGGGGCCCAGGCTTGGCTTCCCAAACCGGGTTTCAAGAAGCGTCTGTGAGCCAGTGTTGTGTGGTGCAGGTCGTCTTATTTTGGAGGCTGAGTCAAAGGTCATGAGCATGTTCAGTCTTCACAGACTCCTTCCGATGGCTTTCCCAAAAGGGTGGCGCAGTTCACACTTCCTTCAACTCTGTCCCTCTTTCAGCATGAGGTACTAACAGTATGTTTAGCTTTATGCAAATAAAATATATAATATGTTAGTATGCATTTCCTTAATACCATTATGACTGAACTTTTTTCATGTTTTGACCAGTTTTCAATTTTTCCTGTGTGAATTAGCGGTCAGCAGTTGGGTTATTGGATCATCAAACGTAACAGCTCTCTGCGTTTTCGGAATCCTGCGGTACCTTTCACAGTGTAGATGCCGTAGACTTCTCTGAAGCCAAATTTGTTAAAATTTCCTTTTGTCTTGCTTTAAAAAGCCTTCTTTATTCCAAGGTCATACAAATATCCTCCAATACTCTTTGTTAATATAGTCACATTTCTGATTTGTACCTTTACTTTTTGACTTTTCGGGCCAGAGGGCATTGATTTTTGTATTTGGTGACATAGGAGCGAAGGTTATTTCATCCCAACAAAGTAACGCTTGGTTTTTCACTCCGTGTATTGAATAACGCACTTTCCCCTCAAGTTGAAAGGCCTTTTCTGGTTCTCTGTGTTCCCCTAAGCACAGGCCCAGGCCTGTCTCGTGGGTCTGTGTCCTGGGGCTGCACCATCTGTTTAAATTACAGGGCCTCATTTAGCGACTATATTTTAATATCTGGCAGGCAAATCTCTGTCTAAAGATTTTTTTCATTTTTTATTTACTTTAGACAGTTCTTACATATTTATTTTCAAATATGAACTTTAAAATCACTTTGTCCAATTCCAAGAAACATGAAATTCAAACTGGAGTTACATTAGTGACAGGCCTGCCCTTGGGAGGGACCCACGTCACAGCCCCCACGGAGAGGCAGCAAAGCCTTTGAATT